TTCAGATCTCAGATTTAATTTTCGCAAAACGTGTGAGTCGCATTAAGTTAATTCATAAAATTTATTTATTAGCCCATTCTAACAAATTACGCAAATAAAGCCAAATGCCCTGCCACGCAGCTTGAGAAAAGGTGTTTTTGTGCTTTTTGACCTGTTTGTTGTTCACTTTTCACGTTTTTATATTACTTTTATTTTTTATTTTTTTGTGGGAACTTGTTTAGATTAACATGTATTCGTGCTGAGTTTTTTTTTTCCTTTTTTATTTAATATATCTTCAAGTTGCTCAAATTGTTTGTAATAAATTCATCGGAATTCTTTATTTTGGATTCGCTTGTTGATTCACGCGCTATGAGCCCAGTCGATGTTTTGACCCATGCCTAAATTGAATAACAAGTGAATGGCTTGCTGCGCGGCAAGACTACGTGATACCCTGTAGTTTGTCGCAAAACTCATGTTTGCAAAAAAATATGATAAAGCTTTAAATGAGTTATTCGAATGCCTTAACATTCAAATATTTGATACAAATCCCTCATAATGTCATAAAAATGGACAATTTTAATTTCATATATTTTGTATAAATATTATATATAAATTAGCTTGCACTTTGTTTACAAAAATAATAAACCTTAACTAGTTAAAATGTTCTTGTAATACGAAATTACTCAAAGCCTTATTCAACCAATTAGAATGATACAATCGAGTATTTTTCTATATACACCGATCCAAGCACGCACCCAGCTGCACAGCACGCAAATTGGTGTCATGCATGTCAAACGTAATAAAGCATGCCAATGATTAGGCCTGGATGAAATGCGCAATTCCGCATGCAGCTTGTAGAATGTGCCAAAGTACAGGCCTCTTACATGGGCAAATTAGCGGCACGCTTCGATCTCGCAACTAATAAAAATTACATCAAGAGTGACACACACAACATCTAATCGATATGGGAGATTGACGAAGTTAAGGCCCACTCACATGATTATGCGAAACTATAGTAACTAAAAATAAATAACAAAAAACAACAACAAATAACAATTGCTCAAATTGTCGTTAGATTTTGTTTTTAGATTTCTTACTCCGTTCCGCACATTAAACAGCTTAAATATCGCCGCACGAGATGTCGCTTGTTGGCAATTTGTTGCCCACAAATTGTGAGTGCAATGGGTACAATGCACAGACCCACAGACCCAGTAGCCAAGCCCCAAGCTGCGTTTGCTCGTCCTCCTCTCCCTCCGGTTTATTTTGGGCAATGAATGTCCCACACGCAACTCAAGAGACGCTACTCAAATTTATCACACACATAGAGGGAGATAGAGGGAGAGAGGGGGCTCTCTTTTCCTTATGGGTTATGTGACTCTCTGGTATGCCAGTTGCTCGTTAAGCCAATCACTTGTGCATGCAGTGCAGTCGCAATAACTTTATTTAATTAAAATACCAAATATATTAGCTAAATAGTTTAAACTTCTTTCTTAGGACTTTTCCAAGCTTTGCCTAAACACAAAAAGTTGCAAATAATAAAAACAAAAATAACGTAAATTCCGCTCATTATACTCGCTAATAATTCATTGGCTTGTGAGCCGAGTGAGCGAAAAAATAGAAATATAAATTCAAATTAATTATTACAAATTAACACAAAAAAAAAATCAAAAATAAAAAACTTAGCGCACGCGTCCAGTGAATAAACATAAAATAAACAATCGCCGCAACAACAAAATCCACAAACTTATCACCTGAAGCAGTTTCGCGGCTTTTGCTGTTTGTTGGCCAATCAAACGAAACGTGCCAAGCGCAGATACAGACACAGACACAACAACAAGATACAGATACATATACGGATACAAATACAGATACAGATACGAATAGTGATAAAGATACAGGCAATGTCTACATTTTGTGCTGACGCACATTGGACGCAAATGTCGTGGCCTTTCATTAGAATTTTAAGCTGCAGCCCCCTGCCGTCCTCCCCGCCTCCATCGTCGGCGACCTCTTGATAATTAACAAAGATTGCCAGCTACCGCAGCTGCCAAACAGCTTAGCGAATTCATAATTGTTACTCCCCGGCGCTATTTGAAGTTATTGCTAGACAGGTCCAAAGTTTGGCGTTGTGCCAAAACAATTTACTGATCTTTAGCTGCGAGCTGAAGCCTGAACTTGAGCCCGCTTCGGTGTGGTCAACGCGCTGGCCGTATTCACTTTTACTACAAGAATTTGGACATCAACTCTCACTGTGCTCAAAATGACATGTCATGTGGATTCAACTACGCGCTGGCTACGTGCCACAGCCAGGTGAAACCGTAACCATGTCCAAGGCAATTTCAAATGATATGCCGTGCTCCAGCTGTGCAAGAGAAGAGAAATTTTAGAACTCTTTCTTAGACAGCTATTTATCATTATAAGAGCTTGAAACTAATTGCGATTCGTTTTCATTGACCCAAAATTAGAGTATATTAATTATATATATGTATATGTATATCTATCGAAAACATCTACATAAAAGTCCTCGCAACATGTTGGCATTTAAACTTAGCTATAAATTTTCGATTTTAATTGAAAAACTTTACGTCATAAACTTAAAATGGAGCCCAGCAGAGGCTAGTCAACCAGTTATTGTATTTTATATTTCATCTCTGACAGCTGACGACATTTTGTAATTTATGCAGAGATCGAAAGAGTTATGGAATGAATTTGTCAACTAAATTTCGTTGGATCTTTGAATTGGCCGATTTTTGGATGATATTTTATTATTATATTATTCCAGTCAAGTTCAGAGTTCAACAGCAATATCCATATAGATAATATGTTCTAACATATGCGAGTGTTGATTAACTAATTTGAATGAAACTGCGATAATTGATATCTAACGACAAGTTGAGTAGGTGCAAACTTTTGCAGATGCTAATCTAGAATGAATTGCAATCAATACTGAGAGAGCTATAGAACCAGTTCCATATCAGTTTTTTTTTTTTTTTTTTTTTTTTTTTGGCCAAACAACAACTACAGAGTCATTTTTCATAATAATCCCCGTATCCCATCAACAGTCTGCAAAGTTAATTTGATTATCACTTTTAATAATGAAAGATTGAGTTCTTTGGAACATGTGATGAAAGCCAAACGAATACACACCGTTGCTCATTAGGCGAGGAAAGTGTGTAATAATCAGAATAACAACAACTATGATTTTAATTCAATTTGTATTCGCATATGGCGAAAAACAAAAGCAATTATTTGCAATGCATGTGCAAATTTCAGCTATTGTTCAATTTCCGCTTATTTTGTTTTTTGGTTGACATAAGCTAATTGCGAGTTGTGCAATAATTTCAGTGTTTGCTTACAGCTAAAGATTCATCGATGGGACTCAGGCAGGCAAATCGTTTGCCTGACCTCAAATGCTACAAACGAAATATGCATTCATATTAAAGTCCAACTCACAAATTACCACAAATCATATACACATATTTATTAGTAACTGGCTCGACTAATGCTAACGATTTGCATAAGCTCGAACTGAGAAGCGCCACTTCGAGAGACCTGTGTGTAGCTGGCACTCGACCTCATTTGCCATGGAATCGCGGCCGATGCTGGCTGGGGTATTTGGCCGAATGATCATCGCGAAAAGGCATCGGAAACCAGTTAAAGGTTAGGGCCAGCGCTTAGTAGGCCAACACTTGTAGCCAGCAGGTGTGTGCAGCAATTAGCTGCATGGGTCCAACGGAATCTCTGGCTGCAATTAAAACGCACCAGCTCAAACAGCGAACGGCAAGTGAGCGTCAACATTTAAATGCCGCTTAGCTGTTAAAACTGTTGACCCGGCCGACACAAACAACAGTTGTGCGTTGGAACAGGTGCCAACACCTAATGACGCCCTATGGGAATATTGCACATTGATCGCCGCTCATTATATAAGAAATATGCCCCCATCCCATTCCATTGGGCCGGCTTGTGACCCACATTTAATATTCTGAACGTGCCTCTAACGCTAATAGCCCCAGAGTTGCGAATGGAGTGTGTGAAAACCGTTACGCTGAGTTCGCCCAAGCAACTAAGAGATTAAACATTGTTTTTGCCCAGCACCTTGAGCTGTTCGTACATTACTCATACGAGCATATAAAGGCGAAGAAGCCGACGCTTAAATGCCCTTGCAAAGGCAAGTGAGCTGAACAATAGAAACTATAAACTAATAAAATGATATGGGACTACAGAGAAAACAAAATTGATAAGATTTTGTTTAATCATAACAAAGACAGAATTGCCAGACTTGGCAAACTTTAGATAAACCATACAGCTAAAAGTAAATGAACTCGGCTGCTTATGTTAGTTATATGATATAGCTAGAGATAAACTAACATAGTCGTATCATAAATTCGAGTTTCATGTATAAACACTCAGATAGAATTACCAGACTTGGCAGACTTTAGATAAACAATTCTACAATGAACTCAGCTCCCTATGTAAGTTATATGATATAGATATAAATTGTCATAGAAGAAGCATAGATTCATCTCGGGTTGCTTGCGAATGTATAAAAACTTAGACTTGGCAGACTTTATATAAACAGTTGACTCCTTAGTTTAATTATATGATATAAATATAATACTACATAGCCGTATCATAAATTCGAGTTTCATTTTCAAGTATTTGGTGTATAAATACTCAGATAAAATAGTCAGACTTGACAGATTCTAAATAAACAATTCTTGTTATGCGTAAATGAACTCAGCTCCTTCTGTTAGAGTTATATGATATAGATATAAATGGTCATAGAAGTATCATAAATTTATCTCATATTGTTTGCGAAATATTGACGTATTTGGTGTATAAAAAGTCTTATGACAGTCGCAACTAAAAACTTGTATCTGTCAATCTCCATCATAATAAAATAAATCCCCTTTTATGTCTTCAAATTTAGTAACAACTAATAGAGTGTAAATAATATGCTTATAGAAATGTATAAAAAATGGTATTGTAAAAAGTATTATAAAATATAATTAAATAATTACCAGGTAAATTGTTGTTACAGCTATTGTTGCGTGTCTGCAAAGTAAATAAAAGAAAGAAAATCATATTAAAATATTTATATTTGTTGTTGATTTTTTTTTTTTTTTGTGCTATATTCGCTGAGCTCTTTTACATCGATAAACATTAGCATTAAAACATGCATTTTTTCGTATTATTATTGATAATAGCAATAAAAGTGTTTCACACGCGTATTAAATATACTAAATGTTCGCATTGATGCTGCGGGCCGCTTTCTCGAAATAGAAAATGAAAACACGTTGGGCTGAAATACATATTTCTACAATATCGGCAATTATGTGAAGATTTATGGAAAATGAAAATAAACATCGGCCATGGCACAGCTTGATGTTTTCGAAATCGGATAACAAATAAAACCAAGACTTGATCAAAATCAGCTGTGAGCAATTCAATTGGACGACGCGGCAGATGCGTCACAGCAGCCACATAAACACACAAACTGTATGTAGGTTGATTCCTCAGCCTCTTTTTGCTGTTTTTGTTTTTGTAGTTTTTGTTTTTTTTTTTTTTTTCTTGCTGCCTGACCATCGAGGCGTCGAGGCATGAATCAAGCAATTGTTTGAGCTTTTATTGCGGCTCGCAGAAGAGATACAAATTCGTAACGCACTCGAGATACATTCTCGCAAGTATTTTTATGTTGTGGGCTTGGTAATTGGCTGGGCCAACAGCCGAAAGAAACGGGTTAGTAGCCGGCCCAGGTGAGTGTCAATGGCTGCGCTTAAGCTCCGGCCTCTCATGCAAAGCGCATATCTGTCAGATAAATACATATATAAATGGGCCCCAGTAAACTTGACTAATTGTTTGCGCCATGGCCGTGTCGGCTGCTGCGGCGTTTTGGCCAATATACTTACACGCAACAGCCAGCCAGCCAGCCAGCCAGCCAATCGGACAGAAAGTCAGAGAGACAGCCAAACAGTCAGCACTAAAAGTCATTTTGGAAAGTTCTCGGCCTGACCTTATTTCCCAGCACAACACCCAGCGCACTTTAAGCTCCATTCGGAGCAGGCGACGATAAGGCAGACGACGATGACGATGCTTGGTAAATAAAGCAAAGTGTGGCTAATAAGCCACCGCAACAGAACAAAACAAAACAAAAACAGCAGCAGCAGCAGCAACAACAGCAACAACAACAGCAACACTATGATACCACACTTTGCGGCAATTGTGTAAACAGCAGAACAGCAACTACAAAATAAAATACAAACCAAGCAAACTCACTTTGCGCACAGTTAGTCAGCCAGTCTATATACTTACAGTAGTCAGTTCAGAAAGCGCCATAACATTCAGGTTAATATGCATATGTTTTACACACTCTACAGAGACTTATTGAAGTGTTAGTGAAAAAAAACAAACAATTAAGCACGTTAAAGTCTGCTGCGCAAACGACGTCATAATACTCGCTCACGATCATAAAATGAATAAATAATTGATATTTTTACGATTCGCCATATAATTAATTTATCTATCTGTAAGGCAGGCCAAGACTCGACATTAGTCGGTGCTATCTTATATAGTATACATACGAAATATCATTATCCAGAGACAATATTGAAAAAATACATATAGGAGTATAGCAAAGCATATGTACGATTTTTATTTATTGAGCGAGTATTAAAAATAAATTAAAATAGTCAAATTAACTTTGAAGTAAATATTAAATAATAATAAGAAAAAA